TGAAGCTGACCGACCATTCACTTCGCTGTAGATTCGCTCAATTCATTCAGGAACAGCCCGCTGGTTTTTCTGAAAAAATCATTTTTTCAGATGAAGCCCATTTTCACTTGTCAGGGTACGTCAACAAGCAAAATTGCCGCATTTGGGCTTCTGAAAATCCTAAAGCGATTATTGAGAAGCCATTGCATGCTCAACGTGTCACTGTATGGTGCGCTATGTGGTCTGGAGGCGTGATTGGGCCGTTTTTTTCGAAGATGAGGCTGGAAATGCGGTAACGGTCAATGGATCACGCTATCGCGAGATGTTAACATCTCAATTTTGGCCTATTATTGATGACATCGATATCACAAACATGTGGTTTCAAGAGGAAGGTGCCACATGTCACACAGCCAACGAAACGATCAATTTATTGCAAACCAAATTTCCCGATCGCATAATTTCACGAAATTCAGCTGTTAAATGGCCAGCCAGATTGTGTGATTTAACACCATTGGATTATTTTTTGTGGGGCTATGTTAAGGACAGAGTCTAAACGGAGCCAATCGAATCGATCGCGGCCTTAAAATTCAAAATCAGTGATGTGATTTACGAAATAGATCCGCCATTTTGCCAAAAAGTGATTAAAAACTTTGATGAAAGAATCGACATCTGTCAGCGTGGTCGTGGTGGACATTTGCCAGATATCATTTTTCATTCATAATTGCCATACTTTTCTCTTCGTAATACAATAAAAATTTGAATCATCTTCATCTAAACTCTTTGTTTTAGAAAACAAAGTTCTTGTTGAAAAACCCATTATTCTATTCTGGTAGATAAAATTCAATACGAGATAAAAACAAATTATTGCTCGCTGAGTGACTTTAAGCTTGTGGAGTAGGTTTCAAGTCTGTTAGTTCTTTCGTAATTCTGAATAAAAAAAATACTCAAGGTTATTTCCAACCAAATTAGGCAGAGTATCTGTTTACCCCTTTTGTTCCTATGCCCTTATTTGTTTTCACTTGTTACCATTCCATTAAACGTAACGAAAACACGATCAATTTGTCACCGAATAATGAAGATTAATGTGTTATCTCCGGAGTAATCACTGAAATTAAAATTAACGAATCGTGTTATTATCGAGACGGCATTTCATTTATTATGGAATATAAATTATTCAGTAGCATTAGCGAAATGTTAGTAAATTAATTCTGTGTAATATGTTTAATATAGGTAAATCTGTATTATTTTTTAAGTAATATCAAAAGATAAAATAAAATAAATTTGATTGATACTTTGTGTATAATTATCACATTTATTTTTAATTCAGTTTCGAATGTTTTTTTTTTTGCTAATGTTATACGTTCTCAAGTTATAGTTTACTAGTTAAGATTCTTTGAATCGAAGATCGAAGGTTAGTCGTAGAATACAAAAAGGTTATAAACGCAGATAACATTGTCAGTATGAACTAGGTATTTTTGTATTGTTATTCTTTAATTTTATACAATAATATGCCTCTCACTGTTAGAAAATCAGTTTTAAGGAAGGTATTGCTATGGTAAGGTATTAATGTCAGTTTCTTTTTTCTGCCGACTTCAAAAAGGAGACGGTACTCAATTCGACTGTATGTTTTTTTATGTGTGTTATCTCATAACATTTTACTGAGTGAACCGATTTCGATGATTCTTTTTTTTATATGAAAGCTGATACCTCTCGTGTGGTCCCACATGAATTTGATTAAGGCCAGACTAATAGAAACAGAAACTTTTTTATTCAATATACATTATAAATAATACTTATTGAAAGTCACTCTTTTGTTTGATTACCACTGGTTCGGAAAAAACCTCCGTCCTGGGAAGAACCAGCAAGAAACCCAGCGGGACTTTTTTTTAAATAACAGCTTACAATCATGTACGTTACACAATTAACCACACAAAACAAATTAGAAATAGCTTGGTAGCGATCACTTTATTACTATTACTAAATAATTTGGTAAGTATTAAGGAATTCCACAAAGCACGGTCCTGAGCCAATCGACTTTCTGCTTCTCTTACCACATCGTTACTTCATCTAGAAATGGACCGCGTTACACTTAGCCAATCGGCAGGAGGCTACCACTCTAGAATATTTTTTTCTCATTGGTCGTCGGTTCTTCGAGTTATATGGCTAGCTATTGCCAAGTTATCTAAAGTTAGTTTACTGATCCGTTATTATCACTTTTAGCAAAAACAAATTAGCGTTTAATTCACAAATTGTTATAAGCTATATATATATATATATATATATATATTGCAAGCTTTACTTCTAGAAAGATGATTGAAGATTGACATATATGATGTACTTAACACGTGACGTGATAGTGACGTAAAATATTTGTCGCCCTATCTCATCGTCATTCAAGAAAACTAGGAGTATAGATTTTTATGGAATAAGGGTGACAAACAAGCACACAGTCCACCTGATGATAAGTGGATGCTGTGGCCCATAGACATCTATATCAATCCTCGATTAAGAATCAAAATTCAGATACGTTGCCACCCTTGAGGACTAAGATGAAATGTCTCGTTTCCAGTAAAAAGGGTCTCCGGTTCTCTACATTCACCATACGAAACACAGCAGCACTGAGCTGCTATTTTAAGCTGGTATTCTGTGAGAGCGTGATCCTTCCCCGGTCGAGCTGACCCATTCGTGCTACAAGTATACCAGTAATATAGCTGCAACATAGCTCTACTAGGTAAGAATAGTATCTCCTATGTCGTTTATGTACTATATTATTATTAAAATAGTTGTCTATAAGTTTTCAAATAATGTCAGGAATGGCATGAGCATCGAATAGAATTAGAAGGATGTCCTCGTACTTATTTGAGTGCCAGTCTTACTACGAATACAATCAACAAAAGTCTGGCAGTCGTGGCTATTTATATACCGTATATAACAATATAATTATGATAATCAAAAAAGGATAGAATATGATTGGAAATACATACAAACATTAACATATATATAAACATTCACGCCTATTGCCCAAAAGGACTACGACTAAGGATTTCCATTGCATACGATCCTGACTCCTCCCTCTCTCACTGTTTTTCTTGAATGGAAATAATAATGCTGAAAGTTTAAAATCCCTAACTCTCTAAAAAGTTAAAAAAAATTAAAACACTTTTCATCGTACACATAAAGACCCAATTAGCTAAAATATAAAAGGCTTCTGTACGGTTTCAGTCTGTTTCAAATTAAATTAATTAGTTGAGGACAATCGGAGGATAGTATTTACTTAAGCTAGTTAAAAAGATTTGTTCGCTGCTAATACCTAGTTCCTATAAAAGACGATCTGGTGCATTAAGTGCAAAGTGCATGTAAAACAATTTCTATAACAAATTTCACCTTTATCATTAAGCTAGTAAAACTGCATTATAGCGCACATGCGTCTAAATATAGGAAGGTTAAACCTGCAAGACGGATTGTCATTCGCAATACCAGACATTCTGGGCTTTTAACGCTGCCCGCCCCTACGCTGGCCTGCTTATTTATACCTGGCGTAAAAAATAGTTATATCGCGATCTATCGGAAGCCATAAGACAATAAGATCTTTCTGTCATATTCCGTAGTCCCCACGGGGCATAATAGTAATGGATACTATTACATAGCTACATGGCACCTGGGTATAACAAGCTACGCATTATTTTTTTTTTATTATTAAAAAAACTTTACTCTCTCACAAGTATTTTCTCCTGTATCACGGAGTTAGTTTACATACAAACAAACCTACAGCCTTACCTGGAACAATCATTTGTAGATCATACACATACTTAATCCGTGCGGGATTCGACCCCGCAGCCTTCAGCACAGCAACTTAAGGCCAAGCTACCGCACCACTGAGCCATAATTGATAAGCACCATTTATTTAAGCTTACCGTTACCGTTACAGCCTATTAAAGTCTATTGCTGAACATAGGCCTCCCCCATAGATCGCCTTATAGGTTTTTTGCCATAGTTGCCATGCTTGGCTAGCGGGTTGGCACAGTCATTTTTTTTGAAAATTAGCTTGAATATATCCAAAGGAATAGAGATCTGATCTGACTTTATACAAAATATTTAGGTAAATTTCTCTTTTTAATATTTTGCTCTTTTTATGGCTTCCATGGACCGCATTAGTCACTGTCAGATGGACTGTCAGTTCGTTTATCACTTCACTTTTCTAAAAAGAATCTTGTTAACAGTTGGAATAGAAATTGCGCGGATTGAACTCCGTTTTTGTAGTAATCGCGACACTTCTAATTGAAATAAAAATAAAAAGAATTTGATTTGGAATTGCTACTTAATTTACCTACGGTGAGAGAAAATTAGTCTGGTCCACCAGGAAGGGTAAATGAAATAGGTAAACTCACGGTTAGCGGCAGCGGCGGTCAACTTCAACTTGGCTTCAAGAATATCTTCGGATGTGGAAGGCTTCAGTCTTCCTTAACCACACTCCAGCGTGATTATATAGTCTATGCACACAGCTGGGTCGACCCGGCACACTCATTAACGCTTAATTACATTGATTTTAATTTGGAAGGTTTAGAAAAGAACAGCCATTACCGATGCAGTTTATCTTGAGTCTCGATTACATGTGGGTATAGATCGCGTCGACTTCTTTTGCAGACGCTTTTGTTGTAGGCCAACAGATGACGCCATAAGTTTTGTTTTGCATATAATTGGAAGGAAGGACGTGATAGAAAAATAAGGAAGGCATGCCAGTACATAATTCCCCCAACTTGAAATTGTTTCAGATTTCATGAGTAATAAAAGCAGTTCTCCGTATAAAACTAAATACTTCATGAAATAGAAACTAATTTAGAATAATATCTACCTAGCTATAATATTAATACTTGAATTTGAGTCGCATACCTATTAGAAAGGTATGTAAGGCAACAAAATTTAATAACTAACTATACCTACAAGCTAAATAGCAAAAAAACTATAATATTAATTATGAGAAAAAATTAACTTTTTTATAAGTATAGCTATATATTATTGATTTAAAGGTAGAGGAGACACAGTTTATTTACTGGTCTCTTATGGAGTCCATTAGTAGTGCGTAGGGTGACCACGCGCACTACACCGTCTTTGCCGGGATGCACGTCTTGAACTCTACCTGAACGCCACTCTAGTGGTGGTAAATTGCTATCGACTTTAGTAAGAATTGTTATGAGCTCCTCGAATGTCAATACTTGTAACCCTATAACGCGTTTTAAGTGAAACTTCATTGATTTTACACCGCTCTCAAATATGCCACCAAAATTACTCCCGGTAGGAGGGTTCAGTCGCCAGATATTTCGTTTCGCAAGACTAGACTCAAGCGAATCCTTATTCTTACAAACCATTTGTTGTAGTTCGTTAAGGTAACGGCGGGCATCAATAAAGTTAGTGCCGCAGTCGGTGACTATGAAGGTACAAAGGCCACGACGTGATACGAAGCGATCTAACGCCGCAAGAAAAGCAGAAGTCGATAGCTCGGTTACTGCCTCAAGATGGATAGCCTTTACCGCGAGGCAAACGAATACACACACGTAGGCCTTGTATGTACGAGCGTTTCGTCTATGACTTTCCTTCACTATGAATGGACCGGCAAAGTCGATTCCGACATTTTGGAAACACCGCGTCGGTTGTACTCTTGGTGAAGGAAGATTTTCCATTAAAGGCTGACAAGCAACCGGTTTTTCTTTAAAATATGCTATGCATTTAGGTAAACGCGACCGAATTAAGTTACGGATGCCAAGTATCCAATATCTACGCTGAATAATCGATTGAAGAGTACGAGGACCACAGTGTAAGTAATTGACATGAAAGTGATCTATGATCAACAAGAATAAGCGTGAAGCCTTCGGCAACAATACGGGACGTTTTACTGTTGCCGGTAGATTAGAGTGCTTTAGACGGCCCCCAGTCGCAGCAATCCCGCATCATCAATAAATGGACTTCGTTTTTTGACGGATTTGGTGGCTTTGACTTCATCTGTAAGATGAAGTTTTTTTTCATGTCGAACCATATAGACGATAGACTGATCCAGCTCTGATACATTCAGGAAGTTCTTAGTTTTATAGTTTCGTGTGAACGCTGCTACAGCACGCAGACACCAAGCTAGCACACGCTGGACGCGGGAAAGTGTAGAGTAGCGGCCTAACAGTCCACTAATAAAGTCAAACTCAGCAGAGCTAGTATCCGTTTGAGATACATGAGCAGTAGAACGCAACTCGGGTACGGAATCTTGTGATTCCCGCTTGCACTTTACTGGCCAAGTGGAGGAATCATTAGCGAGCCAATTTGGACCTGACCACCACGTACAACATGTCGCTAGCTGTGAACCGCTACGATCTCGACTGCAATGATCGGCAAAATTATCATATGTCGATACGTGTTGCCAGCTATCAACTGATACATCGTCGATGATTTTCGCAACGCGATGGGAAACAAAAGTCTTCAGTTTATGAGGTTTCGTGTGTAACCATGCTAGAACCATGTTACTATCAGTAAAGGCAATCATTTTACTGAGAGGGATTTTATCTCGCAGCAAGTTTTGCATGTGCTTAAGAACTCGCCCTAAAAGGACAGCACCGCAAAGCTCTAGACGGTTAACCGTTAGTGGTTTTAGAGTTGCAACTTTTGATTTTGCAATCAACAGATGCGTGTTAAAAAGGTTTGGTTGCCACGAACTATCCTCAAGTACACACAACATCCATATGCCTTTGAAAAGCCATCACAAAACCCAATCAATTGATAACTCTTGGCGTCATCATATGTAACTCTACGAGTCAGTTTAATCTGTTTAACATGTTGCATTTCAGAGATGAAGTTGTGCCATTGGTGAGCAACCTCAGGTGGAACGTGTTCTTCCTAACTTAGCTGAAGGCGCCACATGTCTTGAATCAATAGTTTGGCTATAAGAACAACAGGAGTGAGCCAACCAATTGGGTCATAGATGCGAGCGATATTTGTTAATATTGCACGCTTTGTTAAATTGGAATTGAACCCGGACACTGAATAATTAAAGAAGTCGTCTACGGGCTCCCACTGTATACCAAGAATTTTAAGGATATGGTCGTGATTTTCATCGCAAAAGGCCCTAGGTAATTGACAATGTTCAGACGGTAGAGCTGCAATAAATTCGGCCGAATTACTACTCCATTTACGTAGCTCAAATTGCGCACAGCTCAGTAGTTTAATAAGTTCATCTTTGAGCTTAAGTGCCTGTTTAAGAGATGGCGCTCCGGTTGTTATGTCGTCCATAAAAGTGTCATGACGTGTAACGTCAGCCGCTTGAGGATACTCAGAAGCATGATCGACCGCTAATTGATGGAGAGTACGAATGGCTAAGTACGAGTATGGTGAACTGCTCACACCGTATGTCACAGTATTTAATTCGAACTTACGCACGGGATCAGCTGGAGAGTTTCTCCACAACACGTGTTGCCACCCTCAATCTTCCGGACGCAAATCTATATTGCGATACATTTTCGAAATATCGGATGTGAACACTATTGCGTGAAGACGAAATTTTGTCAGAACATCAACAATGTCATTTTGAAGCTTAGGCCCAGTGTACACGATATCATTTAAAGATTTTCCGTTCGTAGTTCTGGCACTTGCATCAAAAACGACACGGAGTTTTGTCGTAGTACTCTCAGGGCGGAGTACACAATGATGCGGAATTACAAATTTACCTGATCCAACCTCTGCGGGTTGCATATGGCCCAGAGCTGAATATTCAGTCATAAAATCAGAATAGTCCTTTTTTTAACATTGCGCTCAAGCTGCTTTTCGAGTTTGAATAAGCGTGATTTTACCATATCGAAAGATTCACCCAGATCATCCCAAGGCTTCTTCAGTAACAAAGGAACGACGTAACGACCATCAGGCTTACGTGACACAAGAGTAGAGTAGAGTTCTTCGCATTTAACATCTTCAGGGTTCGAAATAAATATTTTCAGTGGTTCTTCGACCTCCCAAAAACGCTTGACCACGTCATTCAAAAGCCGGGTGGAAGTAACGAGGGAAGAAACCATAGGTGGAGGGTGACAGGTGTGATCAATTTTGCCAGTGAGCGCCCACCCAAAGACACTATGTAGTGCGACTGGTAAACCAGGACCTATCTCTAGGCGTTGGCCATCATAAATTTTATGGAATAGCTCTGCACCCAGCAGCATGTCTATTTTACTGGGTTTGTCGAACTGTTTGTCTGCTAGATGTTTAAAATTTTCACGAACCTTAAAAGGTACTTCTACAACAGGCATTTTACTTGTTATTGTATTCATTATTATGGCATTAATAGTGAAGTTTGGACTATCAGAATCCGTTGGCATTACCACGTATGAAGTTTCACCCTTTATTTGATGCACTACATTTTTTCCTAAGCCTGCTACAGCTAAATTGCAGCGGCGAATGGGCAACCCTAAACGTTGAGCGAGTGATAACGTCATAAAACTATCCTAAGTTCCACTGTCAACAAGTGCGCGGGCGGTAGTATACTGAGCGGGAGCACCGCAACCGCGCACGCGCACTACACATGTGTCGAGCAAAACGAGAGCACGACTATGACCAACGTGAGCGCTGGTAGTTACGGATCTTGCAGTCGCGGTCAAGTAGTCAGCCGTAACTACTGTTTTATCGATAGTCCTGTCAGTGGAGCAACACCGAACAGCAACAATGGTAGTGTTATCGTGGAGCAACGAATGATGACGCTCACCACAAGTTGAGCATGTAATTTTTGAAAAACATTTATCGGCATTATGATTTAAACGTAAACAATTCATGCAAACATTTTTATTAGACAATAAGCCGTATCTTTCAGAAATATCAAGTTCTTAAAACTTAGGACATTTAAAAAGCGCATGTGCTGCCCCTTAACACAGACAATCAGCTGTTTTATTTACAGTATTTGAAACTATAGCAGTGTTCGACGGCAACGATGTGGATTTAGGATACTGTTTATTATTGTGACTATTTCGTGTCCAGGTGGCACGTAAATTAATTTTATATAACTGTCCCGATTTAAAATCAGACCCGAAACAGTTACTTGATTGAATAACCTCTAGAACTTTGACATAACTTTGTAAAAAAATCAACAAATCAGAAAAGGTAGGAATTTGTTCCTCATTTCGCAGCTCAAAACGTTTACGTGTATCGGAATCTAAAACACGCGCAGCTAAATTAAATAAAATAAACTCATCTAATTTCTTAATTTTCATAGCTTTAAGAGCATTAACGGTTTCATTCAACACGTTGATTAAATTACGTAAATCGGCATAATTACTGGACTTCAAAGGAACGAAGCAACAAATTTTATCCAAGAACGTTGCGGCCAAAATTCGTTTGTTTTGGAACCGCTCGATAAGTGGGTCAAAAACAATTTGGTAGTTATCAGAGAAAACAGGCACTCCTTTTGCAATAGACAACGCTGAACCCGAGAGACACGTCAACAAATAACGAAACTTTTCGATTGACTTTATATTATTGTTTTCATGTACAAGTGTGGAAAATGTATCGAAGAAAGTTTGCCAATGTTCAATGTTTCCATCAAATTTCGGTAGCTCGAGTTTCGGTAAGCGTGCTTGCGCGTATGGTTTCGTACTATGGTATGAAAATCCGAAAGTCAAACTCGGATCCGGGTCGCGTTGCGGGTCGGCTCGAGTGCGACCCTCGCTTAGAGCAGCCCTGGCGGCATCGACGGTGTAGTACATGTGGTCAAACGCAATCACGGGCTTTATATCAATAATATCGTCCGGCTTTAATTTCAACTTTAAATCATTTATTTGATTCGTATAATCTAAGAATTCTTTATGCACTAACTCAATACGCTTAAACCTAGACTCGAATTGAGACGCAGAAGTTGTGTCCGTTTGGATATTCTTCGATAAATCACATAGTATTTGAATTTCTCGAAATGCATATTCCCTTTGAATAGTAAGCAACTTGAGTTGTCTCTCAATTTCACTAGCGTTCGACTTTGCTTTTTCTGTCAATATGTTTGAAAATATAACAAATAAATATATATTATAATACACCTATTGAAACAATTTGGGCGGTGCTGCAGTCCCTTCAGCGGTGCCAAGTTGACTGTCGGTATATCGAAGTGTGGAAGTGCTTGTACATTAGGGCTACGATGGCTATCCGAGTACAGAATCAGAGTACGAAACTAATCCAATTGCAGAGAGGTGTAAGACAGGGTGACGTCATATCCCCGAAACTCTTCACCGCTGCATTGGAAGACGTTTTCAAGCTTCTGGACTGGAAAGGATACGGTATCAACATCAATGGCGAGTACATCACTCACCTTTGATTTGCCGACGATATAGTCCTTATGGCAGAATCACTGGAGGACCTAAGCACTATGCTCAATGACCTCGATAGTGTTTCCCAACGGATAGGTCTTAAGATGAACATGGACAAAACAAAGATCATGTTCAATGTCCATGTCACACCTATGCCGGTAGTTGTTGGGAGCACTAAGCTTGAAGTTGTTGACGAGTATGTTTACCTGGGACAAATAGTCCGACTAGGTAAGTCCAACTTCGACCGAGAGGTCAATCGACGGATTCAACTCGGCTGGGCAGCGTTCGGGAAGCTACGACACATCTTCTCGTCAGACATACCTCAAAACCTGAAAACGAAATTGTACAACCAGTGCGTGTTGCCAGTG